GCGACACCTGGACCGCAAGCTGCTCCTCGGCTACCAACGGCACTCTCCACACCCGCACCCCCAGAGGGACCACCCTCAGGGCGACCGGGACGAGCACCCCCAGAGTCAGCGAACGGGGGCTGCGACGGCGGCGGCGACGGCGACGGCTGCAGCGGTGACAGGGGCGGCGGAGGAGGGGACTGGGGAGGGGACACCTGGGGAGGGGCGGCCGGCGAGGACTGCACCGGAGGGCCACCAGAGTCAGAAGACTCCTCAACCGGGTCCACGGACGGAAGGGGGGTGACGTGGGAGACACCAGAGGGGGCGGGACGGGGAGGAGGAGGAGGAGGGGCAGGGACTACCGGGGAAGGGGTGACCAGGAACAGGGGGGGGGTAACCGGGGGACCACGGTGGGGGAAGCGGCGGTAGTAGGAGACAGACTCCTCAAAGGTGACGTCACGAGAGTGAAAGAAGCGGTGAGACGGCGGGTGGTAAAAGTGCCAGTCGGACGCGTCAAGGGGAAAACCGAGGAAGACGCAGGGAAGGGTGCGGGCAGTGAGCTTGTCCGTGCCGGAGGCACGGACGTGAGCAAGGCAGCCCTAGACGTGGAACGCAGACGCGTCACCAGGAGACCCAGTCCACAGACGGGTCGGCGAAACTTGCGGCTGCTGAGGGTGCGGCCACAGGTTAAGCTGGTGAGAAGCGTAGCGCACAGCGAACGGCCACAGAAAACGGGGTGCACCGGCATGGACCATGGAGGTGCGAGCGACCTCCATGACCAAACCGATGCGTCGCTCAGCGACCCCATTCTGCTGTGGGGAGTCCGGTAGGGTGAACGTCTGGGTGATGCCCTCCGCACGACAAAAGCGACCAAGGACACCTGAGGCAAACTCGCCACCACGGTCTGAGTGAAGACGCAAGACAGGGAGACCGCGGTGGACACGGGCAGAGACAAGCCAGGGGATGAGGGCGCCAGGCACGTCGGCCTTGCGCTCCAGGGGAAAGACTGTGGTGTAACGAGTGAAGTCGTCGACAAGCACAAGGAAGTAGCGCTCGCGACGCGGCCCAGGGACGGGGGCGGGGCCCCAGACGTCCAGGTGCAGGGTCTGCAGCGGCGCGGCGGTAGGGGGGAACGAGGAGGAGTGAGGGGCACGGCGAAGCCGACCCTCGACACAAGGCGTGCAAGGTGGAGCTGGGGAGGAGGGAAACGCGGGGAGTGAACCTGGGAGACCAAGGACAAGACCGTGCTGGGACATGTGACGCAGACGCGGGAGCGCAGGGTGACCTAGGCGGTGGTGCCACAGGAGGGTCGGGTGAGTGAGGGAGCGACAGGAGCAGGCAGCAGCAACCTGGGTAGACACAGCCACCTGAGGGGGCGCTCCAGCCGGGGGGGGCACGGTGGCCAGAGTGAACAGGCCGGACACCGGGTCCCGGGGGAACGTGGACAGGGGGGCACCAGTGGCGGCCTCGGTACAGACAGCATACCGCTCGTGACCAGGGAACGTAGTGGTGACGCCAAGGTCCTGGAGGCAGCCGACACCAACTAGGTTCCTGGAGAACGAGGGGATATGCAGACCTATAAGAGAGCCCGAAGGAACCGCCGGACAGGGAAGGGTGGTGGAACTGCGGGCGACTACCGGACCGCCGGAGGGGTCAGCAAGAGAAACAGCAGCAGGAACAGGAAGCGGCGTCAGGGTGGTGGAGTCGCGGAAGAAACACCGAGAGGCGCCAGAGTCCAAGGTGAAGGAAAGCGAAGCCGAGGGGTCTGGCGACGGAACGACGGCAGAAGCACCAAGACTACACAAAGCAGGGGATCCTACGCTTGACGCAGCAGGGGAGGCTAAGCTAGGCACACCTACACTAGGCAACAGTGAGTAATAAGTCGGAAGCACACTAGAGTCATCAGCATACATGACATGCAGAGCAGAAACAATGGCATCCATGTCCATATCAAAGATCTGAATCCGACGACTAAGCAAACTGTGCCAGTCCGGGAGGTCTGACGACGGGCCGAAACGCTGACGAAAGAGGTCGTCCAGGCGACGAAAGCAGCGGGGAGTGGAGTGACCGATCTTACCGCAAACGAAGCCGCGGCGAGGACCGGTCTGGATCTGGTACTGACAACGCCCGCCGGCAGAGCCACCACGCGGCACACCACCACGCGCCCGTCCACCGCCAGCGCCGGGCCACCCTGGCGGGAGGACACTCGTCTGCCGCGTCTGCAACGGCTGCTGCGGCTGCTGCGAAGGCTGCGACTGCGGCGGCTGCTGCGGCTGCTGCAACTGCAGGGGCGGCGACTCAGCTGGACTGGGCAGGGTCCCCTCGTCCGCTCCAGCACCAGGCGACCCGACCCCACCACTACCCCCGCCCGCACCCCCGCTGCCCCCTCCGCCGCGCCCAGCCTTGGGGCGGCGGCCCTTCCCAGAACGGGCCTGCGCTGCAACAGCAGTCTCAGCCACTGCGGCAGAGCCGTCGGAGAAGGTGCACTGAGCGGGGGCACAACCCTGAAAGATAGGGACCGGCACGACACCGCTCGCCTGGGCGATGGAGCGGTGACGGGTCTCTATCACAGTCAGGGTGTCGACAAAGTCAGTGAGGGTGAGGTCTTCGGGGTGAACACTAAGGAAGCGGTCGCGGGCGACAGCAAGGCGGTCAGGGAGGCGGGTGGCAAGCAGGTAGAGGGTAGAGGTAATGGGCGGCTGGTGGGCGCTAAGCTGTGCGTCAGTGCAGGCGGCACGCCAGGTCTCCTCTATCGAGCGCAGGTGGGCAGCGAGGTCAGAGACAGTGGGGAACGAAGCAAGGTCAGGAAAGAGCAGCGGGAGGATCAGGCGACCCACCGAGGCAGCCGGAGGGGTGGAATAGCGCTTGATGACAGCATCTAAGTATGCCTGAGCAGTAGTGAGGGACCTAAAGCGAGGACGCTCGGACGGGGGGAGAGCGTTGCTAATGGCAAGCTGGGCGACAGCATCGCGAGAAAGCCAGACAGAGCGCGCACGGGCAGTGGCAGCAGTAGACTCACGCTCAGTGGGTGTGAGGTCAGCGGGCAGAATAGCAGGAGGGTCTGGGCAGGGGAGCGTACCGGCAAGGTGTGCGGAAAGCGGTTCACCATCCTGCCGCTGGCCAGTGAGTTGGCGGCGGAGGTCGGCAAGCCACGCCTCGAACTCTAGGGGCTGACCTTCAGCGTCGAAGCGAAGCTCCGCCGCCATCAGGAACAGTCCAGTGCGGTGCAGGGCGGTGCAGTGAAGTGCAGTGCGGTACAGTGCGGTGCAGCGCGGTGCAGTGCGGTGCAGTGCGGTTCAGTGCGGTGCAGGGCGGTGCAGTGCGGTGCAGTGCGGTGCAGTGCGGTGCAGTGAGGTGCAGTGCAGTGCAGTGCGGTGTAGGGCAGTACATTGTGGTGCGTGGGGGGGAACCGTACCAGTGAGGAGGACGGGGCCGGGGCAGCGGGGCCGGGCAGGTGCGACCGGGCCGGGCGAGGACGACGGGGCCGGGCGGGTGCGACGGGGCCGGGCGGGCGCGACAAGGCCGGGCTGGTGCGACAGGGCCGGGCCGGGGCGACGGGGCCGGGCGAGCGCGACGGGGCCGGGCAGGGGCGACTAGGCCAGGCGGGGGCGACAGGGCCGGGCCGGTGCGACGGGGCCGGGCGGGCGCGACGGGGCCGGGCTGATGCGACGGGGCCGGGCGGCTGCGACGGGGCCGGGCGAGCAGGACGGGGCCGGGGGTGGGCGACGGGGCCGGGCTGGTGCGACAGGACCGGGCGGGCGCGACGGGGGGCCCAGGAGGGGCGCTGCAGGGGCCCAGGAGGGGCGCGACAGGGCCTAGGAGGGGCGCGACAGGGCCCAGGAGGGGCGCTACGGGGCCCAGGAGGGGCGCGACGGGGCCTGGGAGGGGCGCGACAGGGCCCAGGAGGGGCGCTACGGGGCCCAGGAGGGGCGCGACGGGTCCCAGGAGGGGCGCTACAGGGCCTGGGAGGGGCGCGACGGGGCCCAGGAGGGGCGCTACGGGGCCCAGGAGGGGCGCGACGGGTCCCAGGAGGGGGGCTACAGGGCCTGGGAGGGGCGCGACGGGGCCCAGGAGGGGCGCGACGGGTCCCAGGAGGGGCACTACGGGGCCTGGGAGGGGCGCGACGGGACCCAGGAGGGGCGCTACGGGGCCTGGGAGGGGCGCGACGGGGTCTGGGAGGGGCGCGACAGAGCCCAGGAGGGGCGCTACAGGGCCCAGGAGGGGCGCTACGGGGCCCAGGAGGGGCGCTACGGGGCCCAGGAGGGGCGCGACGGGGCCTGGGAGGGGCGCAACGGGGCCTGGGAAGGGGCGCGACGGGGCCCAGGAAGGAGCGCGACGGGGCCCAGGGAGGGGCGCGACGGGTCTAGGGGGGGGTCGCGACGGGGCTAGGGGGGCGAGCGGAAGCGGTTGGTGGGGGGGGGGGGATCCTACCTACGCGTGATACCATATCAAAAAAAGTGAAGTGTTGGTGATACAGTGAGAGTACACACAATATAGCTAAGTGTTGTACCCTCTAAGAGGCTACCCTATACAGTCTATACAAACATAACACATAGACATGTTTGACAGGTTGTACCCTCTACAGTAGGTTTCAGTAACACCTACCAAGCCTACCAATGATATATCAAAGATATAATTTAATTAAAAAACATGATAATTGTGATTGCAGAATCTAGTATTGTGGGATGCGACCAAGTCTTTCAGGTTATTCCTTCCATATAAAAAACTGGAGAATTATTCCCATTTTCATAAGCTGGTATCCCATCTTTAGTTCCTTTTTTCATAAGTGATTGTATCATGATATTATTATGCTTAGTTCTTACGCTTTAAATGAGCTATGAAATTAAAGGACTCACTTGTAGAGCCCCTCTTTTAGCCTCATTTAGGCGCTCGCGCTCCCCAAAACGCAAACCCGACTTCCCGCCACGACCTTGACAGCTGAGGGGGTTCTGATTCTGGCTGGAGCAGAGCAGAACACCCAGCCAGCTGGGACATGCCCGTTGCAGTTTATTTTGCTTGCTCCAGCACAATCCCTCACCTGATGCTCTGCCCCCCACTCTTGCAGTGTGCTCTACTCTAGGGTATTAATTTTTGCCGCTTGTCCGTTTCGCGGCTTCCATTTGAGAACTTGTCGTTGACCTGTTGCGTCATCTTACACATACGCTGCTGCCGCTAGCAGATCGAAGTCTTTCCATGTACTACCTGGTTTTTGGAATGCAGTTTAGGCTGTACATTTCGCACATTAGCTCGTAGATCTGTAGTCAATCTTCTTAGCTTAGCTCGCGGTCAAGCGCAGGACCCAGCATCACACCGTTAGGTATTTCCCTTGTTCACTTTAGGAAGAACCAACTCACCGCGTTCAGTTGAAGCATCATTCTGAACGGCGCTTGTCTGGTGAGTGCCGCTGGCTCTTCCCTTCGTCATTCTCCGGTTGTTCTTGTACATGATTCAACAAGTAAAAAAATACAAGTTATGTCCTTCATGCCGTGGTACTTGTCAGCACCCGCCTCGAAAGGTCCACACTTTGTTCTTGCTCGACACGACTAGTTTCCGTTTTACACTTGCATGCATGCGCGTGCAGACATGCAGACGCCCTATGCACTTCTCCCCACTCCCCTTTTTGTCCACCCTTCTCCCCTCCTCCCCCCCTCCCCTCCCCCCCCCAACACCACCACCACACGCCTTCTCTCTCCCGCTCTCTCTTTCTCCCCTGCTCTCGCTGCACCCTTTTAGAAGCGCGCAAACACTCACACAGACCAACTTACCATACCCCCATCCGTCCCACGCTCCTTGTTCCGCGAATCAACCTTACTCTTTCCTGTCTCATGCAAACGTTTCGTTTCGTCGAACTTACTCCACGGTACTCATCACTGCATTCGATCCTTTTTTCCTGTTATCCCGCGGTGTGTCTCTCATCCGTCCCTTCATTGATCCCTCCACAACGGTGGCCTTCTGAACTCCAGCGGCTCCAGCTACCGCGCAACTACATCCAGGCAAGCAGCAATTCACAGGGCATTGCATCGTCGTAGCCACCAGGCACGGTATCGTAGCAGCCCACATGGAGGGCGTGCGGAAGTTCACCGGCAGGGAGTTAGAGCAAGCAACCAACAAGTTCCACCGTGAGAACTCTCTCGGTAGAGGTGGGTTCGGTACAGGCTACAAGGGTCAGATCGACGGCCGAGCAGTTCTTGTAATGAAGCTCAACCCTGACACTAGCCGGCAGGCAGGCGAGCGGTTTCTCCGCGAAGTGACAGTGCTTACACGCGCCGACCACCGCCACATTGTGCAGCTGATAGGCTACAATGCTGAGGCGCGCTGTATCGTGTACGAGGCCCTCCCTGGCGGCAATCTCGAGGACAGGCTGGCGACTGAGACCGGGCGCAAGTCCCTGAGGCAAAAGGACCGCCTGCGCATTGCGGCTGAGGTGGCGGAGGCCCTTGTGTTCCTGCACCGCCTGGACTACCCCATCCTGCACCAGGACGTGAAGCCCGCCAACGTGATGCTCGATGACGATCTCATCAGCAAGCTCGGGGGAGTGGGTCTGGCTAAGTTCCTACCAGTCAATGACTCGTCGATCTGGGGTACTGTGGGTTATATTGACCCACTGCTGCTGCGCACGGGGAAGTATGGGCCACAGTCGGACGTGTATGGGCTTGGGTTAGTGGTTCTGCAGCTGTTGACGGGAGAGAAGGTGAACAAGGTGCTGGAATACGCCAAGTTCGGGCTTGAGGGAGTGCTGGAGCACCTTGACAAGGAGGTCACCTGGAAAGATAAGATCGTCCGCGATGTTGCTGAGCTGGCGCTGAGGTGTCGTGACAAGGCGAACCGGCCCGACCTGGAGACGGTGGTACTGCCGGCGCTGCAGATCCTGGCCAAGGACACGGCCCTGGACCTGGATCAAGACGGGGCGCCGCCACCCCGGCAAGCAGCAGGAGGGGCAGGCGGGGGAAGAGGAGGGGGGAGAGGTGGACATGCGGGAGGGAGAGGGGCAGGACACGGGGCAGGGGAGGATGCTCGGAGGGCGACACCGGCGAACGCGCCGAAGAAGGCGACGTCCATGTTCAGCTTCTTCTGGGGCAGTGGCCGCAAGTGATAGGGGGTGTGTCTTGTTGCTACTCTTGTGTGGTTTCCAGTGGAGTACGGTTGATACGCCCTAGACATTTAGCAGAATTTGTAGTTCAACATAAGCAGGACCAATATGTTGGCAGGAGTCACTGCTTAATTGGGAGGGACGTTCAACGTGGCAGGCAAAATGATGGCTGGGCTCTTGAAGCGTGACTGCTGGGGTGTCCAGTTCAGAGCCAGCCGCAACCTTACCTCCATTTGAATCCCTCTTGTCCCCCCCTTGTGTTTCCATTTCGATAGCTCAATCGCTCGTGCACGCTTTCTTGGCTTGGGTCTGCCTTGTTAGAATACTAGAATGAATTAGGAAGGAGAAAACAAGGGAGATGTAGGGTTTGGGTTGTACTCTCTATGAACACATTGTTAAATTATATATTGTGTTATATAATTGGTAGGCTTGGAAGGTTATTGAACTTTACTGTAGAGGGTATTGTCAACTTATACATATGTTGCATGTAGAAGTTATAGGCTAGCCTAAGTGTGTGCTTCTAGTGAGTACAACCCCAACAGGTATATGTTATAGGTTTCTCACACTAGTAAGATATTCTCGTATTCTAATATGGTATCGAGTAGGTTAGGTCCATCCACCCACTTTCGCCCGCGCCCTAGCCTCTAGCCTCCCCCTACCTACCTAGCCCGGCCCGGCCCCTTAGCGCCCTCATGGCCCCGTCGCACCCGCCAGGCCCCTGCCGCGCCCTCCTGGCCTCGTCGCGCCCTCCTGGCCTCGTAGCGCCCTCCTGGCCCCCGTCGCGCCCTCCAGGCCCCGTCGCGCCCTCCTCGCCCCAGTCGCGCCCTCCAGGCCCCGTAGCGCCCTCCTGGCCCCCGTCGCGCCCTCATGGCCCCGTAGTGCCCTCCTGGCCCTCGTTGCGCCCTCCTGGCCCCCGTCGCGCCCTCCTGGCCCCCGTAGTGCCCTCCTGGCCCCCGTCGCGCCCTCCAGGCCCTGTCGCGCCCTCCTGGCCCCCGTCGCGCCCTCCAGGCCCCGTCGCGCCCCCCTAACCCCAGTCGCGCCCTCCAGGCCCCGTCGCGCCCTCCTTGCCCCAGTCGCGCCCCCCCTAGGCCCCGTAGCGCCCTGGCCCCCGACGCGCCCTCCAGGCCCCCCCGTAGCGCCCTCCCGGCCTCGTCGCGCCCACTCGGCCCCACCGTGCCCGCTGGCCCTGTCGCGCCCGCCTGGCCCCAATGCGCCCGCCTGGCCCCGTCGCGCTCGCCTAGCCCCACCGCGCCCGCCTGGCCTGCTGCGCGCGCCGGCCCCTCCTAGCGCCCGCCCGGCCCCTCCTAGCGCCCGCCCGGCCCCTCCTAGCGCCCGCCCGGCCCCTCCTAGCGCCCGCTCGGCCCCTCCTAGCGCCCGCTCGGCCCCTCCTAGCGCCCGCCCGGCCCCACCTAGCGCTCGCCCGGCCCCACCTAGCGCCCGCCCGGCCCCTTTCCTAGCGCCCGCCCGGTTTCTCAAACAGCGCCCGCCCGGTTTCTCAAACAGCGCCCGCCCGGCCTCTCCTACTGCCTGCCCGGCCCCGACACGCCCGCCCGGCTCCTGCGGCCCGCAACTCCCAGTGCCCGCCCAGATCCTGCGGCTCGTGTCGTCTGCTTGCCGCGCTGGAGCGTCTTGCCGCTGTCCTGTGGAGCTGTGCCGCTGTGTCCCTGTGTCGCTGATTCTGCACGATGGCTGACTTCGTCCTCCGCCTGGATGCGGAGGGCCACGCGGTTGACTTTGCCGCCTGGCTGTCCGATCTCCGCCGTCACCTCACAGGCCAGCGTCAGAATGGGCACTCCTTGGTTGTCCATGTTGATGGCTTGCTCCCCCGCCCCCCTGTGCCTGCTCCCCTCCCTGCTGATCCCACCTCTACTGAGCGTGAGGTTTTCTCTGCTGCTGCACTTGCCTGTGCAATCTGGGACTCTCGCGATGCAGTTGCTCAGGTCGCTATTAGTCACGTCCTCCCTGTGCCTGAGCGTTCGCGTTTCGCTACAGTTGATACAGCCAAGGCTTACCTAGATGCTGTAGTTGCTCGCTATTCCACGCCTGCCTCCGCTACTGCAGGCCGCCTGCTCTTTCCTATGCTTTTCCCTGACCTTGCTTCCTTCCCTACTGTTGCTGATCTTGCCACTCACCTGCGCACCCTCGAGTCTCGCTACTGCACTGCTAGCACTACTGCCCAGTTCACTGCGCTCCCTCCCCCATTCTGCATGACCCTCTACTTCATCGCTATGCGCCTGCCTGACCGCCTTGCTAGTGCCGCGACCACATCCTTAGCCAGCACCCCGGTGACCTCACCCTGACAGCCTTTGTCACCGCCCTGACCGAGATCGAGACTCGCCAGCGCACTATCGCTCAGTCAAGCGGTGCACCGGCAGTCTCCATCTTTCACAGCTGTGTCCCCTCCCAGTGCACGTTCACTGACGTTTCGGCTGCGGTCGCCACTGCGACCCCTCTGACTGAGACTGCCGCTGCTGTGCACTCGCAACATCGCCCGCGCCGCGCCGGTCGTGGCCGCCAGGGAGGGCGTGGTGGTGGAGCTGGTGGTAGTGGTGGTGGTGACGGGGACAGTCGTTCTACTGAGGGGACTGCTGCAGCTAGTCAGGAGCAGCAGCCGCCGCCCCTGCAGCAGGAGCAGCCGCAGCAGCCGTCGCAGCAGTCGCAGTCGTCGCCGCAGCTATCCCAGCCCCAGCCGTGGGCTCGTCTCCCCCCGGGTTAGCCCGGCACCTCCGTAGGTGGTGGCCCGCGCAGCCTGGCATCTACCGGCAGCTCCGGTGGTGTGACCTGCAAGTACCAGCTTCAGACCGGGCCTCTCGCGGCACTCTATGCCGCTCCCCGCACCCGACCGCTTGCTGTTTTCGCCGCCTCGACGATCTCTTTCGTCGTCGCTTTGGCCGGCCCCGGACCTCCCCGACTGGCACAGTCTGCTTTGCCAGGGCGTGCCGATCTTTGAGTTAGATATGGATCAGATAGGTGCTGCTTTGCATGCCTTGTATGCGGACGCTTCTAGTGTTGCTGGATCTTATTACCCTGTGTACTCTAGTTTAGGCGTAGCACCCTTGTGTAGCTTAGCCTCCCCTGCTGCGTCAGGCGTAGGACTGCCTCGTTTTCCTAGCCTAGTTTCTGCACCGGCTTCGTTCCCAGCCTTCGCTACTGCCTCACTGTCCTTCACTCTCGACTCCAGTGCTTCTGCCTGCTTCTTCCGCGACCGCTCCACGCTCACGCCGCTTGCTGCACCTGCTGTTGTCGCTCTCGCTGACCCCTCCGCGGGACCTGTCGTCGCTCGCAGCTCCACTTCCCTTCCTTGTCCAGCCGTTCCCTCGGGCTCTCTTACAGGCCTCCACGTTCCCTCGTTCTCCAGGAACCTGGTTGGTGTCGGCCGTCTTCAAGACCTCGGCGTCACCACTACATTCCCTGGGCACGAGCGGTTCGCTGTCTGTATTGAGGCTGTCTCAGGTTCCCCCCTTGCGACGTTCCCCCGGGACCCGGTGTCCGGGCTATTTACCCTCGACACCGCTTTCCCCCCGGTTGGTGCGTCCTCCCAGGTCGCTGCTGCTTGCTTGTGTCGGTCCCTCACACACCCGTCCCTTCTGTGGCACCACCGCTTAGGTCACCCTGCTCTCCCGCGCCTGCGTCACATGTCTCAGCACAGTCTTGTCTTAGGCCTCCCCGAGTCGCTCCCTGCACTTCCCCCCTCGCCTACGCCACTGTGCACACCTTGCGTAGAGGGCCGGCTCCGCCATGCCCCTCACTCGTCCTCGCTTCGCCCTGCTACTGCTCCCCTTCAGACCTTGCACCTGGACGTTTGGGGCCCAGCCCCCGTCCCCGGACCGCGCGGTGAGCGCTACTTTCTTGTGCTCGTCGACGACTACACGCGCTACACCATGGTGTTTCCCCTGGAACGGAAGGCCGACATGCCCGACGTTCTTCTCCCGTGGGTTGTAGCTGCGCGTCTTCACCGTGGTCTCCTTGTGCTGTGTCTCCACTCCGACCGTGGCGGCGAGTTCGCCTCTGGTCGGCTTGGACAGTTCTGTCGTGCGGAGGGCATCACCCAGTCGTACACATTGCCGGACTCGCCACAACAGAATGGGGTTGCTGAGCGCCGCATCCGCTTGGTCATGGAGGTTGCTCGTACCTCCATGATTCACGCCGATGCCCCCCATTTTCTGTGGCCGTTCGCTGTTCGCTACGCTGCTCACCAGCTTAACTTGTGGCCACGCTCCCAGCGGCCGCAGGTTTCGCCGACCCTCCTTTGGACCGGGTCCCCCGGTGACGCGTCTGCGTTCCACGTCTGGGGCTGCCTTGCTCACGTTCGTGCCTCTGGCACGGACAAGCTCACTGCCCACACTGTCCCCTGTGTCTTCCTCGGTTTTCCCGTGGACTCGTCTGACTGGCTTTTCTACCACCCGCCGTCTCACCGCTTCCTCCACTCTCGTGACGTCACCTTTGACGAGTCTGTCTCCTTCTACCGCCGCTTCCCTCACCGAGGTCTCCCGGTTGCCCCGCCCCTATTCCTGGCTCCCTCTCCCTCGGTAGCCCCTGCTCCTCTCCCGCCTCGTCCTGCCCCGTCTGGTGTCTCTCACGTTACTCCCCTCCGATCGGTTGTCCCCGTTGAGGAGTCTATTGACTCTGGTGGTCCCCCCGGCCCGTCCCTGCCGCGTCCCCCTTCCCTGGTGTCTCCGCCTTCCCTGCCGCAGTCGCTGTCGCCCCCGCCGTCGCAGTCGCAGTCACCGCCACCGCCGCAGCCGCCGCCGGCGCTGCCGCTGTTGGCCTCTGGGGGTGCTGGCGTTGAGGAGGGTGTTCGTCCTGCGGCTCCCGGGGGTGCCGCTGGAGTTGGAGGGTGTTCTTGCTCTGGGGGTGTTGGTTCTGGGGGTGCTGCTGTTGAGGGTTCCGCCGACGGTCGTCCTGCCTCTGCCGGTCCGAGGGTTCCGGCCCAGCTGTCGCAGCAGCCGTCACCGCCGGTCTCCGCTCTCCGCCTGCTCGGCCTTCCCTCTCCGGACCGCGCGCCGGTGTCTCCCCCACCGCCTGCTGACCTTCTTGTCTACGGTCCTGTGTTCCCGCCGCCGGACTCGTCTCCGGCCCGTCTTCCTCCTCGTTCCCGTCCTGTGTCCCCTCCGCTGTCCCCTGACCCTACACCTCCGTCTCACGTTTGGGCTCGCCGTCCCTCCCGTGCTCGTCCCGTCTCTCCTGTCCTGCCCACCCACCCTATGTTGCTCCGTTCTTGCTCGTCTCGTCCTCCCCTCCTCCCGTCCCCTCCTCCCTCGTCCCTTGCGGTTGCACCTCCTCCGTTCTCTGACTACCTCCGTGCCACTCGTCCCCTTGTCCCTCGGGTCCTTGCCTCTCTTGTTACCGACCCTGCTGTTCCTGTCTCGCGCCTTGACGCGCTTGTCGCTGCTGTCGCTGACTTCGCCTC